AGTATTCGGATTTGATGGAAGAGCAAGCTACTATTAATACTTTTTGGCACACCAGCTAATAAGATTGGAGCTCAGAAAATTATATAATTCGTTAGTGGATTTGCAACCATTTTTATCACCAGAGGAATCTAAGTCTACAAAGCAACATAGTTGATGAATATTCCCGGAAGTGAGAGGCAAGCTGAAGGAAATGGTGTCTTTAATGTATCGAATGGTATGTTTGAGCATTTAGAAGTGACTATTAAGGGGTGAATGCATATACTGATATATTTCATTGACTGAAAATGATAAATTTGGGTAAAAAATTGTGAGATATTGTAACGAACCAGCAAAATGATGATACGCTTGCGTGACCGAGAATAGTAGCTGGGCAGATGGCGAAGTGTCTGGCTTATTGGAAATAGGATTTCTGATTAGTTTACAATCTAGCATGTCGGGACAATGTAGGATGCTATCTGCATAAGTGGATTGATGCAAAAGAATCGATGTACCAGATTTGCATGTTTGTAAGCCAAGAAAAGTATTGAGATATCCCAGATTTTTCATCAGAACTGAGCGTGTAAATCAGTCAGCAAGTTGGTAAGGATTTTGGAGTTATATGAGAAGGGATAGATCAACTGTGCTATGAGTAAAGCCCTAGTGAATGAAGTAGTCTGTGAAGGTAGAAAAACATTTTTATGGGGATTGCTTCTGTAACATCAAAATCTGCTCCAGGATCGTTTGGGCCGATTTGGATCGTCCCGGGACGATCAGTGCAATTTTTGTTCCAGATTCTGTACAGAAGTTCCAGGAATGATTTCCTGTAGGGATCATTTGGGCCGATCTGGGATCGTCCCGGGACGATCAGTGGATGACACAAGTCAGAGAGCAAGGGGTTTTTGAAAATTAATTATCGTCCTGGATCGTCCTGCGAAATCGTCCCAGGACGATGTGAAATTGGTCTGATCGTCTATGACGATCGTGCGATTGGCCAGGCCGATTTGAGTATTTTAAAGCTGAAATCAAGTCATTTTGAAGAGAGAGAAAATCAAAAATATCTAAAAAATTCAGCCGAGGAGAGAGAAGGTCGAGGGGATTTTTGGAAAAGTTGATTTTCGGGCGACGCCGGTCCGTTTTCGTCCGATGAGACTGTTGAAGATATTGCTGTACGCAAGGTAAGGCACAATCCGCCTTTCTCAATTTTCAGAACCATCGTGTTTGGCGGTATTATCTGTCCGGAATTGATTTTTGTTCGGGATCCGTCCCGGTCGGGTCCGGTCGTGACAGCTTCAAACCATAAATTTCCTTGTTTAATTTGCATGCATAATTTGGGTGAGTGGAATCTTTGAATCATGGAGGTTACTGCATATATACAATTTCCTTGTGTTTTTCATGAAGAAACACATTTGAAACATCAAGTTGACATATGTTCCAGTTGTGTTGAATAGAGAGGGCTAAGAAAATGTGAATGGTTTGGATTTTGGCAATGAGACTGAACGTTTCAGTGAAATCCAATCCATATTTCTGGCTATGTCCCTTAGCTACTAGCCAAGCTTTATATCTTGTAATAGACCCATCATATTTCAATATGGTTATATATAGCTAGCCATTTACATCCAAGTATATTTTGAGTCAGATGGGGATCAAGGAGCCAAGGTCCAAGTGACTTGAGTTTGAAGAGCTTGAAATTCATCAGACATGGTTTGCCGCTAGCTAATGGGGGTATTTGATTGCAGATGAATAGCTAGTGGGATCTTGAGGATGGTTATCTGAATGTAGAAGGTTGAGAATGCTGTGAGGTTTAAGGTGACCTGTTGGAAGCGTGTGAGCATTGGATGAGATTTTTGGGGTGGCAGGGAAGGATTAATTGAGGGAGTGGAAGATGGAGGATCTGACTAGAAGGAGAGAGGTGTTGGGAGAGTGGAATCATGAGGTGGTGAGTGATGCGGCGAGGAATGTGCTGAAGGAATTGGAGTAGGTTCTAGGTGAGATGATGTAGGATGATATATTTGTAGTAGGGACAAGCGTTAAAAATGGGGAAAATGTAGGGGAATTGATGGCTGGAGGAGGTGTGGGTGATGAGGAAAAAGGAATTATATTTTCAGTAAAGCACACGTGAATTGTTGTATAAACTTTCTTTGTTAATAAAATAAGGCATAAGTATCCTTTGGAGGCAGGTGCATAACCGAGGAATATAGATTGATTGCTTTGGGAGCAAGTTTGTGATTGACATGAGGTGGTAGTAGAGAAAAAAAGAGACATCCAAAGATTTTGAGAAACTTCTAATATGGTATTTTGTGGTAGAGAAGTTCACAAGAGGATTTTTTGTTGGTAGTTGGGGTTGGAAGCTGGTTTATTAAATGCACAATAGTTAGAGCAACATAAGCCCATAATTAATAGAAAAGATTGGCATCAAGAAGTAATATTTGAGTTGTCTCAATAATGTGGCATTATTTGTGTTCAGCTAAACCATTTTGTTGCAGGGTATAGGGCCAGCAAAGTTGGTGGTGAATTCCAAGTTTGATGAACATATTTTTAAAGGAATGATTAACATATTATGCATTGGAATCAGATCGATCGAAGGGAAATTATCTTTTCACCAAATTATTTTTTAGCAAAGTTTTGAAAACTTTGGAAATATTTAAAGGTTTCATATTTATGCACCATAGGGAACGACCAAGTAAAGCGAGAAAAATTGTCAACAAAAAGAACATAATAATGACATCCATTAGAAGAAGATACAGGCACAAGGCCCCAAACATATGTGTGTACAAGTTGTAGAGGTTTCAAAGTAGTACTAGTGTATAAATGGAAATTAGATTTACGACATTTGGATTGAGAACTTGAATTACAACTTAAAGTAGAAGATAGAATGGAAATATATTGATGTTTGGAGATAATGTTGGTGATAATAGCTATATTATGGTGGCTGAGATGCTTGTGCCAGAGGGATGTGGACGTGACTGAAGACGATAGAGCAATATGAGGTCGAGTAGTTTCAGATTGGCAGAAGATGAAGTATAGACCTTTCTGACTCGGACCTTGGAGGAGAGTAGTATTAATCATCAAATCCTTGATGAGAAAACTATTATAGTCAAATATAATAGAGTAGGCATTGTGTTTGGTGAGTTGCTTAATAGAAATGAGATTGGGTGTGAAGTTAGGGAGATGATAGAGTGAATGAAGGAGTAACGTACGAGTTGGGTGGGTAGAATACCCTGACCAAAGGCGACAATTGGCATATTTTGTCCGTTCCCAACCAAGATGTGATTGTTCTCCGTATATAGTTGTGTAGACTGGAGCTGAGTTGAATCAGCAATAAGATGGGCAGATGCACCAGCATCCAAGAACCATTCAGCTGATGGATTAGCAGTAGCTACAAGTGCGGTGGATTGACGTGGTTGATAAGTGAGGTCAGTGCGATACCAACAGTTTGTAGAAGTATGTCCGTGCTTAAAGAAAATCAAACATTATAGAACTCTGGAGTTACAACCTCGATAGCTGCCTCAACTTGAACTTCCTTCATCATCTCTATTGTTGTTACGTACACCGTAGGGAGATGAATGACCATGAGGTAGGGAAAGAGGCATCTTCTGCGCCCTCTAATGGTGGATAAGGCTATGGTGGGATCAGGTATCTTGGAGATGTGATTTTCACGAAGAGCTTTTGCTGCCACAATGATTTCTTCACTACATAGTAGTGAATATAAATCATCCAAACTAATAGGATGAATAGTAGTACAAATGGAAATTTTGAATGCATTGTAACTTGAAGATAAGTTATTTAGTGTGTACAAAATAATATCCTTAGCATCAATATAATTGTGCTACCAGCGACATTGATGGCATTGAATTTGGACTTTATGAGAGATATATATTGAGTCATGGTCATATCCTTCATTGTAAGATGATGAAGTTCTTTTTTAGGTTGAAGGATTCAGGATCTATTGGTGGATTGGAAGCATTTATCTATAGCTACCGACACCTTATGACATGTTTCAAGGATTAGAACATATGGTAAAAGAGGAGGGGAAATGATGGAGTAGAGGGTAGTAGTCAAGTTTTGATATATCAATATCCATTATTATGAGCGGGATTGGGAGAAAGAACATTATCCAAAACAATGATAAATTTACTTGGGCAGGGTGTAGATCCGTCAAGGAATCCATAAAATCCATTCTCCTTGATCACTTTGATGACTTGGGCTCTCCAAGTGGGGTGGTTATCAGAGGATTTCTAGTCAATATCATGTGGGAGATATCGTTCTTTTACATGGTCATGAAGCACAAATATCTCAATGTGTTGTTAAATTCAATTGATAATGTTGAAGTTTTTGGAGGCTTTGCTTTAGAGTCTATTCTTCCTTTTACTAATCATTCGCATACTCTTCAATTAATCGATACTTCAATTATTAGTGGAGTTGGCATCTCCATTGTGTGTGATCATGATGATAATCTTGATACTATCCTTCCATGCTCAAATGTGTGTGCTTCTTTTAGGGGTTTAGAAAGTGGTTATTTCTTGCTTTAAATTGGGTTTCAAAAAAAAAATAAAAATAATGATGATAGTGATCATACTGTGATCCGTAGTAGTTATTTTTCATTGCATAGTGCATGGACTGAGCAAGAAGAGAATTTACGTTAACATGTCATGCTTTTTAAGGCCTAGTTTATATGATTTTGATTGTTATTAAAATCAAACTAGTGGACAATCATTTTTGAAATCTTCTTCCAGGTTATTTCACTTAGTTTTTTTTTTTTTAAGGCCTATTGTAGAAGTAGGGCTTTTATGTTTAAAAAACTCATTTGTTCTTTAAAAAAAAAATTATGTTACATTTGTGCCTTAAGTTTTATTTTGAACCTTAATTGTTGTATCCATGAGGGTCTTTTTTATAAACTATAACTTTTTTCCGGCATCAACAAAAATATTCACATAAAAAAAATCTCCTACCAATAAATTTTCAACATCATTCCTATATTATGTCATAAAATTTTGAAGTTTGCCCCAACTTTACCTTAAAAATTATCAATCTCTTCAATATACATTAATTGCCATTAAAAAACATGAGAGAAATATCTTACTTTTATAGGAGCATATATAAATCATTTCTCGTAAAAAATACCATGAAATTAAGAGCTGGTTGGTAGCTCCGCATCATTTTCCTGGCTTCCCCATCATTTCCAGTTTCCTTGAAGCTTCTTCTTCTTCTTCTTTTCTTCTCATTCACTAAACTACTAATGCTAAAGGACCATTGGCACTGATGAGCTTCTATCTTTCCTCTTCTACTTACTCATAATCGATCCCTCCACAAAACCTCGATTTGTTCTTCCTGCCTATATATAATTGATCATATCAAACGCAGGAGCCCAAAAATTAGTATGAGGGATCTCAGTACTGCATGCTACTTCGAATGTGCTTGAGATAGGAACAAGACAAAGCCCTCGGCTTCTTAACTGCTGTCTTCTACTTTCACCATCTTTGGGCCTCTCTGAGTTCTAAATAAATTGATCAAATTATGATATTAATTAGTAAACCCCGAAGATCAGTTTGTTACTGCTCGAACGCTAAAATGAAAGTATAGATGAGATTGAATTACCTGTTGGTGATTGATTTGGCTGCAATTTCTTAAATATGGACTGCTTAGTGTCTGCCAATTGAGAGAAAATAAAAGAAATTGTTATGCTTTGAAAGGAGTTTATTTTTATTTTCTTCAATGATGTGAAGAGAAAGGATCATATGATTTAAGAATGGTATTACTTACCCTGACTTGTTCATGGAGGAACTTGATATACTCAATGGCTTCATAGAGAACAGATGCAGTATCCGTCTGGGCAAAAAGTTTTAAAGTTTTAGATATAAATACTAGTCATTACAAGAGACAATGAAAAATCGTATAATATCATATGGGCTTGGAGAAATTATTACGTGCGGGGAGATCGGATATGGAGAACCATTCGATATGTGATCTCTTTGAACAGTAAAAGAACACAGAGATGAAATCGAACGGTTCTCTGTATCCAGTCTCCGCACATAATAATCTCTCCTGGGCTGATGTGACAAATTTTATATCCTCAAATCATTCGTAATTATCACTACTATAAAATAGAGCATTAAAAGAAATGAATTGGCATCACACAATAACAAGCAAATGCAAGAAAAAAAAGAGCAAGACAAAGGGAGGAATTGCCAGCTGAGAGAAAAAAATGAAAGTCCTTTTTTTTTTAAGGTTCTTGGAAGAGGGTGGTCTTCCGTTTCTTAAAGAAGGATATCTAGCTTTGATTCCATCAAAAGAAGCTCTTGGCCTTAACTAAGTGAAGCCTTTGTTTGGTCTTCTCTAACAGATTAAGAAGAAAAGAGATCAAATAATAGTAATACAATAACTTCGTTTTCAATTTTCAAATCCATTCACTTCATCTAGCTAGATAGCGCCTTGTTGCATTTCCTCTTAGTTATTAACATAAATTAAGTGATTTCTCTATTCTTATCTCTAACCTTCTAAGTGTGAAACCCTCAAGTAAAAGAAGTTAAAGTTGTCGTTACCCTGTAGCATGGTCCCACATGTTTCTGGGATGGATGACTTCCTGGGAAGTTACGCCAACATCACAAAACTATGAGGCCTTTCGGTCAAAATGGATAATATCTTGATAGTTAAGAGTTCTGACTGTACACTAAGAAAAGAAATCATTGATGTATCCCTCTTTCAAAGATTAATTTTAATAGACTATTTGATTTTCTTTGTAGTTATGAACATAAATGGGAAGACTTACCAAATCATTTAAATTTTACTGTATCTGTATTCATATCTTTGCTTTGTTTGCTTTCTCATTTTAAAGTATTTTATCATTATTATCAACCTAGCATCATTCTATAATAATATTAACAGACTATCAATAAAGCTTAATACGCACCATATATAATCACTTTGTATAAAAAAAATTAGCGCAGCACTTATATATTAATCACCTGCTAACAAATTCAAGAGTGAAACTTTTGGGTGAGCAAATCTGTAGTCTTGTTCTTCTATATTGCTTAATTAGTTTGAATTGTTATGTGCTAATGAATAAAAATATAGAATAAAATAGATCGAAATTATCCACTAACACAGAAAATTGCATGCGCAGACATAATTTATTTCTCCACTATGAATATCTAGAGTTGCTTTTAGCTGAAAGTGGTTGGTTGCTAGTGCCATTTGCTATGCCTTACAACAACAAAAAAAATCATTTCTACTAAGAAAATTAGAGCTTTTGTACAATTTAATTAATATAACTGGTGATCACAGAGAGAAAATGAACATAAAAAATGTATATATAGATTCTTATAACCAAAATTCTTTCAGTAAAATTAAGCTGTTAGAAGAAGAAAAGCTAAGGCTAACAAAATAAAAAGGTCTTCACCTTTCCAAAAGGAGATACCAGCTGCTGTAGTGCTGTAATTCTGTCGCCAAGCTTCTCTTTCCTCACCTAATAAGCACGCATGAAACAAAGCTTTTATCAAAGTTTTAAAAAGAAAAAGAAAAAAAATCTAAGAACCCTAATATTAATTCATTTGATCCATTTCTACCTTAAAAGTTGGCAATGGAGATGGCGTTTGAATTCTAGGCTTCTTTGATCTTGATGGATTGCTTGAACTTACAGTTTCTTCTGAATTAAACTAAAATAAAAAAACAATAAATTATTTCATAAAACCTTAACATTTCTAGTTGAGAAAAAGAAAAGAATTACACAACTACAAACTGTTTAAGTTTACCTTCGCAGCAGATTTGTTGAAGTCAGATTTCTCCTCAAGACCAGTTTCCACAAACTGCAGAGGCCTAATTAAAGTAGAAAAATCAGAACTTCCATTGTTGAAATTAGCATTCTTGCTCAAGAAGCTTCTTTGCTGTATAGAAGGAAGCTCGCCTGAGCTCTCTTGCTGGTGAGGTCTAGCTTCAAATCCAAGAAGATTATCGTGAAGAGAAAATCCAGAAGGAGAGAAGATTGGGTTGTTATTCATGGCAGACTCTGAAGAACTCGGATCTATATTTAAAAAGCCATGGCTTATATCCTTCAAATGAGAATATGGCTCAGAGTTTTCAGCACTGCAACAAAAACAACACAAATACTAATACGTTACATATATGATCATCAATATTAATTGTTTAATAGACTAATAAGGGACTCTTACTTTGCTATATGATTTAATGATTTTCAATTGTTAACATAATTAAAAACATATTGACGATCAAATAATTTATAGATATATATTTTTAAGATATAGAATTTAAATGAAAGAGAAGAAGAGTTATAGTAATTAAGAGATAGAAATGGTGTAAATCTCTCAAATCAAACTAAAAAAAGATATGCTTAAATCATACTTGCAATCAAACAACCCCTAAAAAGCACTATACCAGATAATTAAGGAGTAGAAGAAATACATGTAGGATTGAGCCCAGTGATCAGCTGAGGAAGACAATAGACCCGAAATAGAAAGCTGGAGAGAAGGATCCATGGCTGGCATGCCTGCCATGTGATCTGAAGGCTGAACAATATGAGATTCTTGAAGAGTTACACAGCTTGCTGGGGAGTTGTCGAAGGCGCAGCCAGTGTTTCTTTCGGCCATCTTAGTGCTTGCCGGAGATTCCGTCCATCTGAAGCATGAATCCGACCGCTCATCGGCGATTCTACTCCTCATAGAGCTCCACCAGTTACCACTAAGACCATGGAACTCATCAGCCATGAATAATTTGTTTTATTGTACCTTCTTGTTCTTACTCTTTTATATTGGGACTTGTTTGGTTCTCTCTACGGTGTTGTGAGGAAGGAATGGGAGGATTTGGTGTCAAGTTCTTGGCTTTTTATAGAAAGTTAGGATTGGGATCAAATGGAAGAAGAAGTTAAGGGCAAGTTGACATTTTTGACGATTTGGGGAAGACGAAAAAGAGAATTCAGAAGAGAGAGAGAGAATGTGAAGCAAATCAACTTGAATTTCTGTGCGACAGCTCGTGGGAAGGGTCCACACGCGCATCAGCGCATTATAGGACTCCATTAATCACAAGTCACGAACAACGACAAAACAGTTGGACCAATCTAATTCCAAAAAATTGCACCGCCTCAAGAAATTTTTTGTAAAAATTTTAAAAGAGTGTGATGCCAATCAGAAAGAACATGTTAGGCTTTGTAAAAAATTTTAAATTTAAATTCAATTTATACTCAATTTAGGTTTTGGTACTCAACTTTTATAAGAAAAATATTTAAAATATGATATAAGCTCTAATATTAATAATGTAGAGAGAGAGAAAAGCTTATCAATTTAGAAATTTGAGAAAATAATACACAAAGATAAAATAAGTAGAGAACAACTCATTATATGAGAGCCATGATTTTTTTTCATAGAAATCTAAAAAGAAATAATATTATTAGGTTTAACTAGTTAAAATAATTTTTCTAATATATATTGTAGACAACAATGATGTTATTTAAAAAGGTTTTGATATAATATAGTAGACATGAATTTTGGAAGATAACTTTCACAATGAAACTTATAAGAACCATGGGGGATTGAAATTAATTATCTTCAACAGATTGTTGGTAGCCTATTTAGTCGTTTTCCTTAGATCAGGGAGACTAGAGACCAAAAAATTTAATATAAGACTCATTGTTAACATCGATCAACCATTAAGGTTTATATCGAAGGAAAACATTAGTTTTGTTGGCATATATTGATGTACATTGATGTTGGTGTCTGTAATGTGCATGCATCAGCTTTACTGGCGATGACATGTACCAACATTGCTTTCAATGGCTATGATCAATCTTATCAACAATAGTAAGCATCGATATTAATTGCTAGGTAGTCAAACTGTGATGGTCGGGTGATGTTAATTGGGCTAAAATAGTTAGGTGATATTTTACTATATATAACAATCAGCTCTGATAATGGTTACAGGATGGTAGTCGGACAATTATGATTGAGTGATGGTAGTTAAGAGATTAGAGTTGATTCACAGTAGTCAAGCTATTGTAATTTGGTGATTTAGTTGGGTAACTCTGGTTAGGAGACATTAGTCATATGGTATTGGCCATAGATAAAATATGTGTCTAAGAAGATAATCATGCCAACAATTTTTGCAGTATGTTCTTCAAAATTATAAATGTCATGAGAATGGGGAAGGAGCTCACCGTTGATTAATTCAAGATTCATAAATGCAAGAAAATATAAAATATCGACCAAATTGTTTGTATCAACCATAACTTTTATATTATTTGTGGAAGGAGCTCTATTTTTAGTTGGAATAACAAAATCTTGATGAATATGATACATTTCAATAAAGTTAAAATTACGAAAAGTAAATTGATTATTCTCCGATGCATTTTCTTGAATATGATGATTGATTGATTGTGGTGATACTATCATGACAACATTGACTATTTCTATCACTCTCTTATCATCAGTCTTATAATCTCCTTTATCACAAGATTAGAAAACACAGATCAGACATATAAATAATGAATCAAATATTTTTTAAGGTATTATTATACTCTTTATTATATTTCTCCTACTGTTATATTCATCAACATATTTATTCATACTAAAATAATCAATTGAATAAAGTTGTAGCCCACTTATATATATTCTATCACACTTTGTAAGAGTGAATTGAAATTAAATATTTAATTACGATGCGCGTGGCTTATCAGATTATTAAATTAGGTAAAGTATCACTAAGCATAAACTAACAATCTCTATAAGAATTTCTCTAACTATTTATATAATTTTGTTTATTATTGTGATTAACAATTATGTCGTTAATCACATATTTATTAAGAAAAAATGAGTAAATTATTTTTAATCACACAGTTTACTATGGGTTATAGGTAAAGATACTTATAACTAAAATGGTTATTTAATTAATATTAATTGAATATTATCTGGCATTTGACCTTTAAATGAGATCTAGTGTTCAAGTCAACTTTAAGAGTCAGAAGATAATTAGTGTTGTGTCTACCTAGGCTAAGTTGACTTTCTGTGTATTATCTAACATAGACTCATTTGTCTAGCTATATGCTTTTTGAGATTATATTAATTTCAACATAAATTTTATTTATTCCAAGTATTAAAAAACATAGCATGTATATTGGACATAGTCGTTAATATATGTTATTTATGAGTAATATAGAGATCTTATTAATAAAACTCGCAAGTCAAACATAATAAAAACAGTAGAAAAAGAATAGAAAAATAGAGAGGCAACAACGAAGAGTTTTATAATGTTGGAGAACATATTGCAAGATTTGAATACAAATGACTTGATATTTTAGTGAGATTTCTTAGTTTTTATTTATTTATTTATTTTAGCGAGATTTCCTCGTAACCCCCTATTTGAAAGCTTAGATTAGGGTTCGTCACTAAAAATATCTAAATGAATAAAGAATAATAATTATTATTATAAGGTATGTTGCCAAATAGTACATTGTAGACAGTTATAATTGTTGAAGTCACTACGTACTAGATCAAGTTTGCTAACTTGATTTGATGAAGTCAGCAACTTGTATGATAAATTAAGGCTTCTTTATTGTTTTCTTACTGCTTCTTAAAACAGTTTTTTAGTACTAAAATTTTAATATTTGTACTATAAAACTATTTTAAAAAATGGTAGAAAAGATGTCCCAAATAAAGTCAGAATGTGACAAATAGTTTAAGAATGACCAAGCAGCTTCTATTATTGGATGAGTAGCTTTTGATCCCTGGGGATTAGAATTGACAAAGACTGGACCAAGCATATTTTGAAATAATTTCATGCTCGAGTTGAGTTGATTTGAACTGAATCTTCAAGGCATTTGGGTATGTACTTGAATCAAAAACTCTTTTTTTATCGGTTGTACTTATTTTTGTGACTGAGTGGTTGAAAAAAAAAAATGCCTCGGAATATAGTAATCAAAATTTAATTTGAATGACCTCAAAAAAATAAAAAATTATTTTGTGCGGACTTCAAACGTTATTCGGAGACCAACTACAATAAGTCATGTAAGTACCTTGGCTCGATACTTCTTCGCACAGCGCTCGACATTACTGGCGTGAGTTATTCTGATTGGTCTCCAGATATAGGGCTGCGTTCAGCATTCGCACAGAATAATTTCTCGAAAAACTGCGGCATGTGATCACATTTCAATTATATTTAAATAATGCAAAATTATATGGCTTTTGATTTCATAATAAATTAAAAAATATTGTTAAAATCTACTAATTATGCTTAATTATGAAAATAGAAAACCATTCCGCAGAGTTGAGTGGATGAGGGCGGCGTCAGGACTCAGGAGGGAGGGATTTAGTTACTGGCTGACGGCATTCTCATGGCCCACCCGAGTCATGGTGGGGACCCACACGGCGTGCGCGCGTGCTGAGGGACGAGTCAAACATCCGACAGCGACGCCTCAGCTTTGGCTCGAGGTCGTCGTCATTAAGAAGCAACATTCCTTTGAGGCTTTGACCCGACTCTCTCCCGCACTGCCAACCCACCCTTTTCCTCCTCTTACCTAATAATATCGTGTCAACTTACTCATCATTCCTTGGATTACTTATTTCACAACTATTCCAAACGCTTCTCTCTCTCTCTCTCTCTTCTTTTCAATTGAAAAGTTATTAGGATGAAAATAAATTATGTTAGGATATTTTAACTCATTTCTTTGACATAATAATATTTATAATTATTAATTTTATTTTATGATAATATAAAATAAAATATTTATATTTTATTTTTATAAAACAAATTTTAAAATTTTAGAATTCATTTTCATTTTTATCATGGTCTCTCTCTCTAAAGAAACAAAAAAGTGTAAGTTATGTAAGATAAATAAGATCAATGTATTTTAGTAAGAATGCATGAATTGGTCATTTTTTTAGAATAAAAATAATTTAAAATTACGTGAATTTGATCTCTTGATTTTTAAAATAAGAATTAAATTAGTTATTTCGTTTATTTAGATCTCTATTTAAACAGTTAATGAAGTAAAATGAGATTTTTAAATAGACAGTCATATATTTATATACATATAATATTATATAAAAAAAACTCCTAAATGCTTAAATTTCATTAACTAATCTATGTCTTTGTTTGGGGCTTTTTTATTATTGCTTTCTGAACTGACTTTCTCCCATAGTAGATGATAAGACTAATAGATATGTTATATGGCTTATGTGTATAAGTCGGCTCACATGTAAGAGCCACATGCATCCACTTCCTCTGCTATGGTAGAAGCCCTTTTTCTGCTTACCGTTTGATCAATGCTCCAGTGATCATAGCCGTTACTTTTGTAACTAACTCAGCTACTTAAACTGAGTTACTGTAGCAGCTCGATGATGAGGAAGATGAAGTGAACTGGTTCTCTGAAGCTATGCGTATTGTTCTTGATTCTACTTCTAACCCCTTACTTCTTCCTCTCTGTTTGCTCTGATTGATCTGCAGGTTTGCTACATTCAACAGTAGAAACATAAGCCAACTAAGGCTTCGTTTGGGTCGGCTTTCTTACTGCTTCTTAAAATAACATTATAGTATAAAAATTTTAATTTTTGTATTAAAAAACTGCTTTAAGAAACAGTAGATAAATCTTCCCAAACGAATCCTAAGAAAGTGCCCCTCCCACAGCAGCTTGTTCATGTGGTAACCTTCAGCTCCAAGAGGGTTACTGCTGAAAGATTGCTTTATGCATTTTATTAAAACTAAGTACTGAAAAAGTGGACGATAAAAAGCCCTACCATATCATTACCTAAGATATCTAAAAAAATCTTAGGAATGTTGGGAGTATCTAAATCATGAAAAAACCAAGAAAAATTATAATCAATAGCTCTTTGAGCAAAATAATGTGCAGCCTTATTCAAATTTCTACGAAGATGATTGAATGAAACATTGTTGAACATCTTG